GCATGGCAATACGGAGCGCAAACGGTATAGCAAAATTTACTGATGTATTTCTTTGAAGTTGGAATGGCTCAAATCATATACATTGCATCTGCTTAGAAAAAGAAAAATGATAAATGAACAAATTTCAATGCATCGAATAAACAAAGAATACACTGAAGTTTGCTTTTTGAAAAGCAAAAGATCCCATCCAAATTCCAATCTTGATTGAGCTGAAAGTTTTTTCCGACTTTCATAAAACTCAAAAAATAAGCAGAAAAATCGTCGTTAAGGCAAGATGATTCTTATGAAACATTTTGAAGGAGGTAGGCAGAAGTTCAAATTGGTTATTACTATCTATGACCACTTTCTCAACAAGTCAGAATATAGCCAAATGGCCCAAACTACTCTGGTGAAATTAATACAAATAGTAGAGCTTTCAGCTTCAAAATTTTATGCATCTGGTTTAGTTTATAAACGATACCTTAGTTTATGAACACACTCTGCAAGCATTTCTTCGGTGGAATATAGTATTATTAACTTATAATATAACATTTGTTTTGTGAAGGCCTGTCAAATATTACAGCTAAGTAAGGAACTAATGCAAATACATCTTATTGTCTGTGTGCATATATAGTTAGTTATATACAGAACAAACAAATGGAATTTCTTTTTGATTGCCTTTTTTAGTCAAGTCATCATGGCCATCATTCTTGAGAATTGAATCCAAGAATTGTTTGTGATTTTGCAACAAAATGAGATTTCAGGACTTAATAATGACCAGAAATAAGTTAGTTCAGAATCTCAATAGAGAATGAATCGTTCATTGCTTGAGGGAGGTTTATATCCCAAGATGTGAGCATGGCCTCCAAGATCATGAGCTTTCATATAAGAAAATGATCAATCATATGTTGAATGATGTTTGCACCTTCTATACGCATAACTTATATCTCTGACCTACCAAAAATTAGATTGTGGGCAAATGCATTCAAAAGTAAGTGAAAATTTTATACACTTACTTTTTGAAGCATTCTACAAGTAAATCATGTTTGCATTTTCAATACCAAAATGTAAGATCTTTGGTTTAGTTTTTAAAGGCATCCCATTTACAGACAGCTCAAAATGTAATTTCATAAAACTTGTTACTAGAAGATTTCATGTTAAATGTATTTCTTCTTTTCTGAAAAAATGATAATATATATGTCAAGTGTATTAATTTCTTGCTAGACAGAATGCATTTCCACTCCCTTTGGTATTGAAGAAAATGGTTTTATCTGTGTGGTGTGCATGTTTTTTGCATGAGTACTTTAAAGAGGGCTACAAGTATGAACATATGTACACACACATGATGGAGGCAAGAGAGGAAGGGAAGATTCAGCTACCTATATGATACCACGAGCAGCAAACCTCTGTCCACACTGCTGTGAAAACTAACATCTACCTATAAGATACAAACACTAGAATTCTTAAATTCGAGCTTGACTTATACTAATTGAGCTTGAATAGAATCTTCTCAAAATTGAAAATAATCAAGCTCAAGTTGAAATCGTAAAAGCACCCAAAAAACAAAAGTCCAAAGTAGTTTAAAAAATTAACAAAATTACAGAGAAAGATATGATCATAGCCACTCTTTTGCGTTAAAATAAACCGTATTTCATACAACTCATCATAAGAAGAAATAACAAGTTGACTAAAAAAGAAGAAAAAAAAAAGACTAATTAATAAATAAAGGCACAAAATGAAAGTATTCGTAAGCTATTAACTCTGCTTTGATATGGATGGAATCAACCGATGAGAATCATGTCCTTCTACCGATGGAGTAACTTGTCTCTAATGGCATATAATTTTGCAGCAACTTCTTTCATCTCCATTCTTTCACTTGGTGACTCCATTGAGCAGACAACTCCAACCTCAGCAACCGCCAAGAGGCTCTCCAGAACACCAACTCCCTTTCCCATATTCCTTGCTTTTGAATTTTCTGCTTCTTGAACCTCCTGAAGTAATGAAGGATCTATAATATCAGTTACCCTTTCAGGAAGTTTTGTCTTGACCAATTGGTGAATGGTGAAGTTGTCTTTGAACATTGAATCAGTTGGTGCTTTCCCTGTAATCATCTCCAGTAAGAGAATTCCAAAACTATAGACATCACCAAGCTTGGATATCTTGGTGCTCATGCCATATTCTGAAATAGAAAATAAAAGGTCAGTAAATATTGTTGATTTATCATGTTAGTGAGCACAAAGATAGATCAAATCCCAACGGAATGATAAAAAAAGTAGAGAGATTGAAGAAAGTTACAGAAAATTAAAACGATTACC